TATTTTCCTCTGTGCTATCAGTGTTTCCACACAAGACTTGAGTTCTACAACTTAAGTGGCCACAAACCAAGAGGGCAGGATCTGAAATAAGAGGTTCTGCTGCCAGTTCTTCACCTAGCACTTACTCACATGGGCAAATGCTACGACTTTTCTGGGCCTGCATTTCTTCATATGTAAAACTGGGATGATTCCCCCCTTAGCCCGCCCGCCAAAGACTATCTCCTGAGGATCATCCTAAGAATTCAGATGTGCTTAGTAAAGTTCCATTGCATATGGTAATAATTCAACAGACTTTAGCTTTGAGCAATAATAAATAGTTTCTTTCCTCCACCTGGTCAATGTGCATTTTGCCTCTCATTGTATTGTCTCCAATATGATTTTTAACTATTTGAGTTGCACTTTAACTTCCTATCTTTTATATAAGAATATTTATTGAGCACTGTTAAATCTTCCAGGCACTCTTTTATTTGGGGGTGAGGGTTGTTGTTCCATACGCTCTAATGTTCAGGCGCTACTCCTCTTTTAGTGCTCTGGGGTGACTTCTGGTCAGGGAATTATATGTAGTGCCAGGCATCAGACCAGGGTCGGTTGCATGCAAGGCAAGCACCTTATCCCCTGTTCTATATCTGACCCTGTAAAGCACTCTGGTTGGTTGGTTGCCCATTGACTTTGTTTGGAGTCATACCTGGCAATGCTCAGGGGATACTCCTGGCTCTATACTCAGGGGTCATTTTGTGGGTTTTTAGGGGCCCACATCAGTGGCAGGATTTGAACCAGAGCTGGCCACATGCAAAGCAATGCCTTAACCCTTGTACTATCAAGGGCAAATTTGGCTCAGGATTGAACACCAGGACCTGACACGTGCAAGATACTAACTGGTCTCAAGCATATAGTCATGGACAAGACAGGAAGGGACCAGAATGATAGTCCAGGGGTTAAGGCCTTTGCCTTGAATGTTGCTAATCCTGATCCACATAGGACCACCATAAGTCACTCCTAAGTAGAGCCAGAACTATAGGTTCAAAGGACCACTGGGTGTGGCCCTCCTCAAAATATGTTAAAGGTAGGCTGGGAGAAGATGGTAGCAGCTATTCCAAGTGCTCTCAGCCAGTTTCTCTCACCCTTTCTCCACTGTGACCACCCATTCTTCCGACCCTGCTTTCTTCCTCCCCTGGACCCCTGCTCTACTGCATGGTCTCATGCTGTGGCCCCGCATAGATACAAATTTCTCCCTTGTCCCCATTGGAGCAGGCTGGAGCGATAGCACAGCGGTAGGGCGTTTGCCTTGCACGTGGCCGACCCGGGTTCAATTCCTCCGCCCCTCTCGGCGAGCCCAGCAAGCTACCAAGAGCATCTCGCCTGCACAGCAAAGCCTAGCAAGCTACCCGTAACTCATATGCCAAACACAGTAACAACAAGTCCCACAATGGAGACGTTACTGGGCCCGCTGGAGCAAATCAATGAACAATGGGAGGACAGTGTTACAGTCCCCATTGGAATGTGTTGGGGGCTTGCAGGGTCCCACTTGGCTCCCAGTTGAGACATGGTGCTCTGAACAAAGTGGGTGACAGTCAGGGTGGACAGGTGCCGGAGCTCCCCAACCTCTCTGTGGTAGCTGAGAGCCCTAACGGTGCTGGGAGCAGCCAGGTGCGGGGAGTGGATTAGCTGCCATTGTGAGGACATGGCTTTCATTCCCAAACAGGGAGCCTCAGGAAGGATTTGAGCTAAGGAGAGAATCAATCTGATGCATGTCCTAATTAGGACCACTTATTAAGCTGGTGCGTGGGCATTTTAGCCGGTGGGGAGGGGAAGCCAAGGGTGCAAGTCGGAGATGGAGAGGAAGCCTTTCACAATAACCTGGGAAGGACATGGTGGCCAGTTTGCCCATGGTAGCCTTCCCTCACGCAATCCCTTCCCTCCACCCATCTGCAACCAAACCTCTGAGAGGGGCTTGTGAAAATGTGCAGCAAGCAAAGAATGGGTCTAAAAATCTTAGCACCACAACTGAAACCTATTCAATAGTAGTTCCTGCTGCCTTTTTTTTTTCAGGATTACTCCCGCGGCCCCTGCCTCTGAAAGATGCCATTGACTGCCTTGAAAAATGCAAAAGGCAGGGCTAGAGCGATAGTACAGAGGGAAGGTGTTTGCCTTGCACACGGCCGACCCGGGTTTGATTCCCAGCATCCCATATGATCCTCCGAGCACCACCAGGAGTAATTCCTGAGTGCAGAGCCAGGAGTAACCCCTGTGCATCACCGGGCATGACCCAAAAAGAAAAAAATGCAAAAGGAGGGACCAGAGCCACAGAACAGCGAGGACGATGCTTGACTTACATGAAGCCAACTTGGATTCGATCCACAGCATCCCATATAGTTTTCTGAGCCTGCCAGGTCCTGCCAACCCTGGTTCGAATCCCTGGTGATGCATTAGATCCTCAGAGCACTGCCAGAGGTCACTCATGAGTACAGAGCCAAATAAGAGCCACTGAGCACCAATGGGGGGGTGTCCCCCAACCCCCCCCAAAATGTAAAGGAAATCTAACAGCTCCCTACTTTTTAAATTTTAGCACGTGGGGTAAGGGTGGGGCCACACTCAGAGGTGCTCAGGATTTTCTCCTAGCTCTGCACTCAGGGATCACTGCTAGTGGGCTCAGGGAACTATATGTGGTACTGGGGATTAAACCAGGACACATGCAAGCAAGCACCCTACCTGCTGTACTATAGCTCCGGTCTTGAGGCGGGGGGATGGAGATTGGGCCACATCTGGCCATGCTCAGGGTTTACTCCTGGCTCTGTTCTCAGTGGTCACTCCAGTTGGTGCAGTCACTCCTGTTGGGGAACCCTGTGTGGTGCTGTTTGAACCAGGGTTGGCTGGCAGGAGGCCAAAATCTTACCCCCTGTACTCTCACCCTAGCCCTAAGCTGCCATTTTCGTTGGATTTTTTGGTTTGTTTTGGAGCCACACCTGCTCAGCCGCCTCAATCTCCCTACATTAAATGTATTTAATAAACTTACTTCAAATCTTCCCACTGTGGGTTCTGCACACACTTAGCCACAACTTAGCAGGGGATCCAAGGATGCTCCTGGTCTTGCCCTCCAAACTCAGATGCTGCCATTCAGCTGCTCTATAGGCACACTAGCCTCTATCCGGCTCGCCTGTCTCCATGCCTCCCACATCTGCTTTTCCTCCAGTTTGGAGCTCTGCTCCTCGCTCTCCCTTCCTGCCCAAAATAGTCACGACCCTTCCCTCACTCACTGTTCCATCAGGTGCTGAGCACTCAGGCCACCCCAGATCCTGCATAGTCGATGAAATTCTTTATTTCCTTCCCTTGTCCCCACCTAGAACAGCACCTTCATCCCCGCCTGTGTACCCTAGAACCTGGCACACAGAGAGCGCACATTCATTCCGTGTGGTAGAACTTCAAACTCTAGGAAAGGATTACCTGATGAACTCACCAAGCCAATTTGTTGAAGTCATAGCCCAGATTATCAACAAACCTTTCATATTTGTAAGTTAAGATGGGGACTAATCGGGGCTGGAGCGATAGCACAGTGGGTAGGGCATTTGCCCTGCACACGGCCAACCCGAGTTTGATTCCCAGCATCCCAGATGGTCCCCCGAGCACCGCCAGGAGTAATTCCTGAATGCATGAGCCCTGTGCATCGCCGGATATGCCCAAAAAAGAAAAAAGAAAAAAAAGATGGTGACTAATCTATATTTACAGGTTTGACCTATACAATATTTTGTTATTATTGTTTAGGGGTATTTTTTGGCCATACCTGGGGATGTTCAAAGCTTATTCCTGAGCTCAAGAATCACTCGTGAGCAGTACAGTGGATAGGGTGTTTGCCTTGCACACTGACAACCCAGGTTCAATCCCCGGCATCCCATATGGGGCTCCCTAAGCACAGCAGGAATGATTCATAAGTACAGAGCCAGGGGTGAGCCCAGAGCACCACCAGATGTGGCCCAAAACTCTCTAAAAATAAAAATAAATTTTAAATGATTCCTGAACACAGAGCCAGAAGTGAGCTCTAAGCATGGCCCGGTGTGGCTCCAAAACAAACATAAAAATCAAACAAAAATGGCAGTTTAGGGCTAGTACAGCAGGTAAGGTTTTGGCCTTCCACCAGCCAACCCCGGTTCAAACAGCACCACACAGGGTTCCCAAGCACCAGCAGGAGTGACCGCTGAGAACAGAGCCAGGAGGAAACCCTGAACATGGCCAGATATGGCCCAATCTGCACCCTGCAAAAAAGGAAAGTTACCTGGGGCCTGGAGCTATAGTACAGCAGGTGGGGTGTTTGCCTTACATGCAACTGACCGGGTTCAATCCCCAGCACCCCATATGGTTCTCCAAGCCCCACCAGGAGTGATAAGCATGAGCACTGCAAGGTTTGACCCCACCCCAAAGTTATCTTATCATAGTAAAATGTTTTTTTTTTCTTTTTGGGTCACACCCGGCGATGCACAGGGGTGGTTACTCCTGACTCTGCACTCAGGAGTTACTCCTGGCGGTTCTCAGGGGACCATATGGGATGCTGGGAATTGAACCCGGGTTGGCCGCGTGCAAGGCAAACGCACTCCCACTGTGCTATTGCTCCAGCCCCTCATAGTAAAATGTAATCAAGAATAATTAATGTTCTGAAGAATCTCTCTAGCTTCAACTCATTCTACGACAAACATTATTGCTTGGTGAAGCTTAAAAATAAATCAGTATTAACACTTTACAGACAAGGAATAGGTAACTAAGAAGACTACGCTAGGTAGATTGGTAAAGAACTGATTCAAGACAGACAGCTAGTACAGATTATTACGGCATTTACTTGCCTTGCATGTGGCTGACCCTGGTTCTAATTCCTGGCACCACATATGATCCCAAGCACGGCCACATGTCACTCTTTGAGCACAGAACCAGGAGGAGTAGGAGGAGCCCCTGATCATGGCCAGATGTGTCCTAAACATCCCCCTTTCTATCAGATAGGAATGACACACATGCAGTTTGTTTTTAAAGAGACAGCCTTTATTTTAAGATCAAATACACTTCAGAATTGAAAAAGTGGTAAAGTTTCTCGAACTTATTGATTTGGATATTGAAAAGAAACAACTGTTAACAAATCACCCGAAAAAATCCAAATAAGCAGGAGAATAACAGTTAGTACTACAGAAACGTTACTAAAATAATTCCAGGCTGCGTGGTTTAACTGCCCTTAACACCACCTCCAAGGTGCTGTTGTCGCTGCGCTAACGGACTGCTTCTGTACTAAACAACAGTGGCATCATTAACAACCATCCCACACTCCTGTTCTTTCCTTAATATATAAAAAGAGCTACCAATTACAAAACTAATATATCTTCTCTTTCAATGTTTCTCACAGATACAATTTCAATCTTTCCATTCAGTAGTGGTGTCACTTGAGAGAGAATTCATTCATGAGTCAAACAAACAGCAATCCACCAAAAGGGAACTGATAGTCTAGGCTCATAGTGCAAATAAAAGAGTTCAGGAATGCAGCAACTGACATTTCTAAAATCCCAAACAGACACGATTCATAGAGGATGCATGCAATAAGCTCAATTAAGCAGCTGGCCACAGAACTGGAACATTTGCTAATTTTAATGGTGTCTTCACTGGAATTCCAGGGTTTCCGTATCTAACTGGAACTCTCACATCTTAGGCTTTGTACTTGGCCTTTCCATTTTCACTGATGACACAAACATGCTACAAGATAAAAAGGAAGAAATTCACATTACAAACAAAAGGCAAGAGCAGGGGCAGGCGTGATAGCACAGTGGGTAGGGCGTTTGCCTTGCTTGCGGCCAACCCGGGTCCAATTCCCAGCATCCCATGTAGTCCCCCCGAAAACTTCCAGGAGTAAATCCTGAGTGTAGAGCCAGGAGTAATCCCTGAGCATCACCGGGTGTAACCCCCCCAAAAAAACAATACAAAACAAAAGGCAAGAATAGCATTCGGCATATCTAATAACTACAAGCGTTATGAACAGGCTGTGGTTGTGTGTGTGTATATAGATTTGGGGTAGTGGATGTTTGGGTCATACCTGACTGTACTTAGGCCTTACTCCTGGCTCTGTGCTCTAGGACTGTTCCTGTCGAGTGCTTCGGGACCATTTGTGGTGCTGACAATTGAACCAGAGTAGGCCCTGTGCAATGCAAGCACCTTAACCCCTGGACTATCTCTCTGGCCCAGGGTGTTTGTTTTAGCTCCAAAAGTTTGTGTGAGCTCCCTCGGCTTCCTCCCCCATGTTCATAAACGCCTCTTTGGGATTCTGGCCTCCACAGTAGGGGAGAGAATGAGAAGACGTAAACCAGCTCATTTGCTCTTTACTTATGGCCACATCTATCATCTGAACTAATAATGGGACAGTTATTGTATGTTAAAGCTGTTCAACTGTTTCAGCCAACGAGTGGTGTCACCCTAACCTGGATGGGTTCCAGCTCGAAGGACGTCTGTACTTGACTACAATTTTATGCGACTAATGGGAACCATCAGTCTGCTCAAATTATGAGGTGCTGGAAAGGAAAAAACAATTCCTCTCTTTCGTAAATTTTTATGTGGGTTCTGAAAAATGAGAGTGAGAAAAAGCAGCATTACTTACATTCAAGTCCCTGAAGTATTCATTATAGTCAAGGGCATATCCCACGACAAACTTGTCTGGAATTTCAAATCCAACGACTACAAAAACATCAGAATTCAATCAGGTAGATAGGGAAAACATCACTTTGCACACGCTCACCTCGCAAAGAGACCTTCCCGACCCCGCTCCTCCACCCGTGAGCGCAGAACCAGAGAGGTCAAGAAAAGGAGCTCGGGTCAGAGATGGGGAAACGATGGGCAGAACAAGTCATTCACTTACAGTCTGGTCTGTATCCAACACTGCGAGGTGTCCTTTTCACCAGCAAGCTGTTAATTGCAAAACATGTCTTGTCACATATGGAGACACTACAGAGTCTCCTGTATCCACAAAAGACGATTCCTGCTTAGGGGCCGGAGCGATAGTACAGTGAATAGGGCACTTGCCTTGCATGCAGCCGACCAGGGTTCAATCCCCGGCATCCCACATGGTCCCTTAAGCACCACCAGGAATGATTCCTGAGTGCAGAGCCAGGACTGACCCCTGAGCATTGCCGGTTGTGGCCCCCCCCAAAAACAAACATAAAAATAGGATATTCCTGCTCGGAGATAGGGTTTTATCTACAGTTCGCACAGTTTGTTTGGGTTTCACATCCCCACAAAAAGACTATGAAGCTGAGACGGCTCAATTGGGGACTCACTGCATAGGGAAGAAGAACACTCCCTGAAAGAGGAAGCCCTGGATTGAGGCCCCGCCAGAACCTGATGGTCTGCCCCAAGCACTGCAATGCAAGCAGGAGGGTGAGAGGGTATAGCATGCCAATGAGCAAAGATGAAAACAGGCAGGGGGCTCTTGGCACAGAATCACTGGGAACACATCCCTTAAGCTGCAAAGGGCATATAGGAGAGGCAAGTATTGCCCCTGAAGACTTTGCCATATGTGGTTTACAAAGAGTGAAAGAAATGCATGCACAGGCGCATACGCTGCCTGAGCCCATGTGCTGCTTGCACCCACGTGGCCGAGCACATGTGGTGCCCCAGCACACGTGTCGCCCGCATCTCCCCTCTTGAGATGTGGAGTTTCATGCTTTTGTGTTTAATGCTAGGATGTGTGGAGAGGCTCTCTGTGCCCTTGGAGAAGCCCATGTTCTCTCTTGAGCACATTACTCTCTCACTCTCTCCCCCTCCACACCTTAAAAATCCTCCAAATAAAATCTATTTTTTTTTATTAGTGAAACACCACGAGGTACAGTTGTAGACTTACAGATTTTTGTGCTTGGGTTTCAGTTATACAATGATCTAGTACCCATCCCTCCACCAATGCCCATTCTCCACTACCAATGATCCCAGTATCCCTCCCACTCCCCATCCCCCCATCCCACCCTGCCTCTGTGGCCGGGCATTCCCTTTTGTTCTCTCTCTCCTTTTGGGTGCTGTGGTTTGCAAAAGAGGCATTGAGTGGCAATCATGTTCGGTCTATAGTGTACTTTCAGCATGCATCTCCCATCCTAGGAGAATCCTCCCAACACCTTTTATTTGGTGCTCCCTTCTCTATCTGAGCTGCCTTTTCTCTTAGCATGTGCAGTTGGCCTCCAAGCCATGGGGTGAACCTCCTGGTACCTATCTCGGCCATTCTTGGGTGTTAGTCTCCTATTTTGTTACTTTATGTTCCCCAGATGAATGCAATTTTATTTAAAAAGAGAAATGCATGCACAAGCACAAGTAGCTAGCATTCTTTTGAAGAGCAAAAAACTGCAGGGAGATGAGTCAATTCAAATAAAAGTTCATTGAGGGGAGGGGAGAGAGAATACAGCGGGGAGGGCACTTGCCCTGTACATGGCCAAGCCAGGTTTGATCCCCTATTTCCCATATGGCCCACTGAGCACTGCCAGGATTTAATTTCTGAGAGAAGAACCAGGATTAACCCTGAGCATCACCAGGTGTGTCCCAACAACTGTTCCCAAAAGTTAATTTTGTAACCCTTCTTTCTGTAATTTTCAGAAAACATAAAAATGGTGTTTTGGAAGTCTTTGCATGGGTAAGAGACAGTCTTCCCCCATCCCAAAAGAAATAACACCATACAATGGCATATATTTCAATATACTTAAAGTGTCTGAAGGAGGCACAGTGGAGGAGGCACTTGGCTTTGAGTGCTGCTGACCCCAGTTTCATCCCAGCACGGCATATGGTTCCCCAGCACTGTCAGAGAAACCCCTAAGTAGAGTTGGAAGGAAACCCTGAACAGTGCCAAGAATGGCCAAAATACTTCCCTTGGGGCTGGAGCAATAGCACAGCAGGTAGGGCGTTTGCCTGGCACACGGCCGACCCAGGTTCAATTCCTAGCATCCCATATGGTCCCCTAGCACTGCCAGGAGTAATTCCTAAGTGCAGAGCCAGGACTAACTCCTGTGCATCGCCGGGTGTGACCCAAAAAGCAAAAAAAAAAAAATACTCCCCTTGTCTCCCTGCTTAACTTGAGTCGCACATCACAATCACCTGAGACTGGAAAACAAAACTCAGCTACTCTGACCAATGACATCAGAATTGCTGGGTCTAGAACACACACAGGAGGTATTTTTGTTTCCCAAAACTCTCAGGTGATTCCAGTGTGCAGTTGAGAACATCAGGCCGAAATCTTAAACTCCAAAGGCTTACTAATCAAGTCCCTTATGATTCCCTTTCAATAATGAGACACTTGGATACCCTTGGACTTCTCTTCCACCACAAAAACAACCAAGCCAGCAGAGCAGAAACCTTTTCCTCGACTTAATCTCACTGAGGAACCCTCCAGAAAAAAAAATCCCTAAATGCAATGCAAGCTGTACTGAATGTAAACTGCATCCTCCCTTATGCCTAAAGATCCAAATGTTTATTATGGTTCTATCTCTAAAGCATAACTTGAGCTTGTTTTTGAAGCAGTTTCTGCATTTAAATGGGTCGCCACTACAAAGAAGATACACAAACAGCCAATAAGCAGATGAAGCATTCAACATCATTGGTTGTAAGACAAATGCAAACCTAAACCACAATAAGCTATCACATCCTACCCACTAGATGCCTAGAATAAAAAGAAACAGACAATAACACGTCTTGACCAATATATGGAGATACTGGAATCCTTCTACGTTGATTGGGGCAGGGGGTGAATAGGTTTATCCACTTTAAATTTTGAAATAAGAGCTGGGATGAGAGTACAGGTGGGTAGGATGCTTGCCTTGCATATGACTGACCTAGCTCCATGTGGTCCTCCAAGCCCCACCAGGAGCGATCCCTGAGCACAGAGCCAGGAGCAAGCCCTGAGCACTGCCAAATGTGACCAAAAAATCTGAAATTATAAATTCCCAGGAAATTGCCCCAAAACATACAAGTAACATCTACCATAACTGTCCTAATTACCACAACCAGGACACTGGTCTGGAACCCCTGTTACCCAGTATTCAGTAAATATTACATACATATATTTGTGTGTGTGTGTGGTTGGTGCTTTGTGATTCTTATTGCATGCATGTCTTCATGCAACCACAATCAAGGTACAGAACTTTCTTTCATCACACAGGCTTGCTCCCAATAGGTCTTTGGAGTCATAGTCATCCATCACTCTGGTCTCTCTTTTCAGCCGGGCCCTTTTAATTTTGCATGTGTATGTGTTTATATTAATTTTTTAAATGTTTTAGTGAATCACCGCAAGACACACAGTTACAAAGTTATTCAAGATCAGGTTTTAGTCACAGAATGATCCATTATTCATTCCTTCACCAGTGTGCAATTCCCACCACCAATGTCCCTAGTTTCCCTCCCACCACCCCCTTACACCCCAGCCTCCCCACCTGCCTCTATGGCAGGCACCTTACTTCTCTCACTTTCTTTCCTGTCTCTCTCTCTCTCCCCCTCCTTTCCTCTCCCTCCCTCCCCTTCTGGGCATTATGGTTTAATAGGGTTTGCAATAAAGGCACAGAAAGGTTCTTGTAAATGAAATCTGGAAGCATGTAACTGCAGTTGTGCTGAAGTCCAGCACAGCCCCCCCCCCCCAAGAAAGGCACACACTTTTTCCACTGAGCCCCATCCCTGATCTGGAATGGAGCCTTCTGAGATGGGGTCTTAATCTGTTCTAGAGGTTCTCCTGAGGTTCATCCTCGAGAGCAGAGAGGTATATAACAAACGCTGGTGAGTTCTTACTGCTGACTGAGGAACCCGTGGTAGTCTATCCCCCAGAGTTCTCAAATTGTTCTTCAGATTTGAATCTTCTAGAGAACGTGTAAATATCAATAGGTCTAAGTATTCCGAATCGAATGACTGGGGGCCAGGGCCCAACTCTGATGACAGCAGAATCATCCGAGAGTGGGAGCCAACCTTTCCGTTGGTAAAGTCTGGTCTGGGGATCCCCTTGTGCAGACAAGGCTGAGAAGCCCTGGGGGAGAGCTGTTCACCCATTCAGGCCCAAGGACCTGGTGGCTGTTTCCAGTGTGGGATGGCTGCAAAGCTGCATGTCTCTGGGATACAAATGCTGACGTCACATGGAGATGACACGTTTCATTTCATTCCTTTGGGGGCGACACGAGTAGTGCTGAGTCCGGGAGGACGATACACTGCCCAGGGATGACGGAAGGAATCTAGGGCCTACCACTGTGAACCACATACCCGGTCCAACTTTCATTTCTTTTTCTTTCTTTTTTTTTTTTTTGCTTTTTGGGTCACACCCGGCAATGCTCAGAGGTTACTTCTGGCTCTGCACTCAGGAATTACTCCCAGGGGTGCTCGGGGGGGACCATATGGGGTGCTGGGAATCGAACCCGGGTCAGTCACGTGCAAGGCAAACACCCCACCCGCTGTACTATATCGCACCAGCCCCAGGTCCAATTTTTCATTTCTGCAAAAAAAAAAATGATAATAACTGCATGACTGTTCCCTGAGGACCATTTTTCATACCTCTTAAGAGTCTTTAATTTTTTTTTCATTTAACACCTAAGTGTACTGAGTCATTCTTATATGAGGACTGAACTATAAAAACAAACCAATCTTTAGACCTTCTCAAATCTGTATGTGCAAAAAAAAAGATACATGTGCAGCTGGCTCTTTGAAAAAATAAACAAAATGGAAAAGTACCTAAGCCACTATATTCATGCCACTAAAATTTAATGGTGGGGGAGAGATTAGGGAAAGAAAGGTTACGAAACACATGCATAGGCTGACTCCATCACCAAATGGTCTAAGTATGATGTGGGAGCCTACTTCCAGCAATGCAAAATATCTCTCTCCTGAGGCCATCGATCTTGCTTTGGAGGCATTTTCTAGGCAAGAGGCGCAAAAGATGACCCAGAAAAGTCTGCTCTTGGCCACAGTGGGATGACATAGAGAGCGATCGACAAGAACGCGGACTGCTTTATAGGATGTGACTTAGTGCTCTAGAACACGTTTAAGACATTTTTAACCACTGATAAAATCCTCACCATTTGCCTAATCCCCTGGAAGTAAAAACCGACTGATGATATACAGGCACCACGAACTATCTGGAGAGCCTTAGAGAACAAAGTGCAGGCATCTGACTCATGAGGAGGATTACTCAGATTCAAAAACCTGATCCTTTCAAAGGGGTTTCTACGGCCCAGGTCATCACTGAGCTCAGAGTAAAAAGCAGAGCCAAGGAGGGCAGCTCAAAGGATAGGAGCACGTACCGCATGTGCACAAGGCCCCAGTTTTGAATCCTGGCATAGCAAGACCCACTGAGCCCCGACAGCCCCCAGCACTGGTGGGCCTGAGAAGTCCCATTCATTGCTGGTCCCAAGCACCGCAACATCATTCAGGCCAGGCACTGTGGCTGGGAGTGGCCCCAGGGTACTTGAGCACTGCTGGAGTGGCACACAAAGAAAACTTACAAAGAACAGAGACCATATCCCTCCCTATCTGACCCCTACACCAAAAATATTAATCATAATAATAATAACCACCCACAAAATGTGGCTGTGTCAAAGATTTAAAATTTTTCAGTTAAAGGGCTGGCGAGATAGCTCAACAGGCTGGAATGAGATGCTCTGCATGGGGGAGCTCTGGTCTGATCCCCGGCACTGCGCAAGGTGCCCCAAGCACTACCAAGAACGACCCCGTGGTCACTGAGTCAGAGGTAGCGCCTGAATGAGCAGCTACCCCCAATTTCAAGGAAGGAAGGAAGGCAGGCAGGTGGGAGAGAGTGAGAGAGGGAGAAAGAAAGAAAGAAAGAAAGAAAGAAAGAAAGAAAGAAAGAAAGAAAGGGAAGGAGGGAGGAAGGGAAGGGAGAAAGAAAGAAAGAAAGAAAGAAAGAAAGAAAGAAAGAAAGAAAGGGAGGAAGGAAAGAAGGAAAGAGGAGAGAGAAAAAAGAGAAAGAGAGAAAGGGGAAAAGAGAGAAAGAAAGGAAGGAAGGAAGGAAGGAAGGAAGGAAGGAAGGCAGGCAGGCAGGCAGGCAGGCAGGCAGGCAGCAGGCAGGCAGGCAGGCGGGCGAGAGGGAGAAAGGGAGAAAGAAAGAGAAAGAGAAAGAAAGAAAGAAAGAAAGAAAGAAAGAGAGAGAAAAGAAAGAGAAAGAAAGGGATAAAGAGAGAAAGGAAGGAAGGAAGGAAGGAAGGAAGGAAGGAAGGAAGGAAGGAAGGAAGGAAGGAGGAAGGAAGGAAGGAAGAAAGGTGAGAGGGAGAAAGAAAGAAAGAAAAAGAAAGAAAGACAAGAAAGAGGAGAGAGAAAAAGAAAGGCAAAGGAAGAAAGAGAGGAAGGAAGGAACAGAGGGAGGGAGGAAGGGAGGGAGGGAGGGAGGGAGGGAGGGAGGCAGGCAGGCAGGCAGGCAGGCAGGCAGGCAGGGATATTGAGCCTGGATCCCTGGATTCAACTGTCACCCTCCACTGCCCGTTGAGCTAGGCAAACCCCTATGCCTCAGTAGCTCTGGAAAGTGGAACAAAAAGCTCCAGCTTGCTGGGGGAGGCAACTCAAATGAGGGCTACAACCAGGTGGAACAACCAATCAAGCCAAAGCTGAGTGCCACAGGCAGGGCCAGGAGGTAAGGCTGGCTTAGGGGGAAAAAGAAGTAGGCACTATAAACAGATACAGGGCCAGAAAGATAGTAGTACAGGGCTTCAAGGCACTTGCCTTGCATGCTCTGGTTTGATGCCTGGTGTGGAGCACTACCCAGGGTCACTCCGTAGCACAGAGCCAGGAACAGCCTTTGAGCACCCCTGGGCCCTGGGTGTGACCTCCCAACAACCCCACCCCCACAACTCACATAAAAGAGCACACCAATGTGGATGCAAAGCATGACGCAACATCCCAACACAAAATTCTAAGACCTCCAGACCCTCGGGGGTACAACCTTTCCTACCCTAACCTTCTAACCCTGAGTTGGGAACTTGAGTATTGATTTTATAGGGGGAAAATGACCCAAATCTGCTTCTCTGCCACCCAGAACAAGTTATCGTTATCAGTCTACTGAAAAACCAAATGTTCAGATATTAAGCAAGAAGGTGACTGCAAGAAAGGGCTTTAATAACCCATGAAGAAAATATTTACAAAGAGTTCTGAGTCTTACATGAGATTGAATACCTTTTGAAGATAAAAGGACACTAAGCACATTCACCCAGACAAAGAAATAATCACTTAATCCTCTTCCAAATGAAGAAAAGATCTTATGTCAAAGCTTCATATGGAAGGCTAGGATGCATGCTTTGCACGTGGGAGGCCTGCACTTTATCCCTGCCACCACATGGTCCCTTATGCACCACTGCCCCCAAAACAAAAACAGGTTTTTTTTTAAATAATCCATACCTTGCAACCTTGACCATCTTGGGATTATGCTGCTTGACCAAGGACAGCAAAGTTTGCATTGTTTTGCCAGTGTCAATGATGTCCTTCACAAAAAAGAAAAGGCATGTGAATGATAAATAAAACCATCGGCACTTGAAATTCCAAGTCATTATGCACACATGTAAAATATCCAAACCCCAGGGGTGATCAGGAGAATGTCATTTTCCTCAGAGCGGTGCTTCTCACCATAATCCACACACTGAGCTACCTGGATATCTGAAAATCATCTGGCTGTCCACAGGCAGCAGGAATGAATGCGAGTTGTTAGGACTGGATTTTAGAGTCACCAAGAGGTTTGGGCCAGAGTGGCAGTACAGAAGAGAGGGCGCTTGCCTTGCAAGTGGCTGACCTGGGTTCGATCCCCAGCATCACATATGGCCCCCCAAGCCCTGCCACTAGTGATCCTTGAGCAGAGCCAGGAGTCAGCCCTGAGCACTGCTGGGTGTGGCCCAAAAACCAAAAATAAAAATGAGGTCAACGACAGTAAGTTTTAGAACAGACGTTCTTGTATAAACACAAAAGTAGGAGTGTTTTTTTTTCTTTTTGTTTTTTGGGTCACACCTGGCGATGCACAGGGGTTACTCCTGGCTCTGCACTCAGGAATTACTCCTGCTGTTGCTCAGGGGACCATATGGGATGCTATGAATCGAACCCAGGTCGCTCACATGAAAGGCAAATGCCCTACCCGCTGTGCTATCACTCGAGCCCCAGTAGGAGTGTTTTATCAGAGCTAGGGTGCTGGCCTTCATTATAAATACATAAATTTCATATGCCATATAAATTTGATAAATTTCATAAATACATAAACTTCATATGCATCTCACGCCAACTCTCCAATGTAAGTGGTCAGCAGACCAAACTTTGAGAAACTGCTGTAGACCACCTGAAAGTATCTTGCTAGTTCATGGGCTGAACACATGCTTTGCATGAGGGCTGACTGGGTGTCCTACCAGGCACCACATGGTCCCCTGAGCACCACAGGAGAGAGCCCTGAGCACCACCGAAGGTTACCCTCAACCCCCTGGAAAGTATTCAAATAAATACGGTTTTACTATATAAAATGATTTTACATGCAAGTGACTCAGCTATTCAGTCAGAAGTAGAGCATTAGGGACCAGAGCAGCCGTATAGCGAGTAGGGCACTTCCCTCACCTTCATGCAGCTGAAACGGTTTGATTCCTGGTCCCTGAGCAATACTGGGTGTGCTCCCCACATCACAAAAAATGTGAGGACACTATTCCATCAACACATCTCTATCTGGGAAAATATTTCTGACACCACAACCCTAAGCTCTTCCAGGAAAACACAGATAGAAAGTCGTGCTTTCACCAAATTAGATAGGAAAGTAACACAGCAGCCAACTAGGCTCAACTAACAAAAATACGAACACAGAAGGCTCAACTAGCAATAACAGCTTAGTAAACCCTCAGACAAGGATTTAATGTCCTTCCTGGTGATAGATACCAATCTTCACAAATTTCCTTTTACTGAAGTACTTTTTTAATAATTCCATTAGCCAATTATGCAAGAAGCATCCCATACGGTCCCCTGAGCACCACCAAAAGTGATTCCTGAGTGTAGAGCCAGGAGTAAGCTCTGAGCACTCCTGGGTGTGCCCCCCACCAAAAAAATAATGAAGAACCCCCTGGCAAAATCCAGCAAGAAAATGGACTCCCTTGGGAGCAGGGAGGTAACTCAAAGGGCTGGAGGACATGCCTTGCATGCTTAGAACCCCAAGCTTGATCCCCAGCACTGCCAGGAAGAGCCCTGGAGGTCCCAGAGTATGACCAGGTGTGGTCCTAGTGGCCCCTAGAGGCCAAGGCAGCACCGCCGTGCTGAGCCTGAACATTCAACCATCCATCCAGCCTGTTGGATGAGGATCACCCTGATGGCCTTGAGGTCTCCTGATTACTCTTTGGGAGTACCTCACATGATTACTCTTTGGGAGTACCTCACATGAAAAAGGAACATAGGCCCCTAAGTGTTATAACCACAGGAAATAAATTCTACCATTCAGAAGAATGAACTGATAAGAGGGCCAAAAGCCTTGGGACTCGAGCTCCAACTTCAGTCCTGCCTGAGAAGGAGAGTCCAGAACACTGCCCAGCTAACCTGTACTTGGGACCCGAGACCAGCACTGCATTTTCTTTGAAGCCGTGAAGCCTGTGGCATTCTGTAAAGCAGTACTATCCAAGAAAAAGCAATCGATTCAAAACAGAACTAATGAGTCATCCACGTTTGGAAAAAAAAAAGACAAGCAGCTTCCCAGGCGCTCAATGTACAGAAAGCTTTTAAGTCAAGAAGCTGACATTTCTACAAACCTTAACAAAAGAGGAAGCAAGGGTTACTGTTGTTCTTAAGCCGTCGACTATAATTTTCCATAAAGGAATGGAGTCTGTTTGTGGGGATATAAAGCATCTAACCACTTGGATACGTATGTTGGCAATAGTACAGATGAAAACGCATCAATTCTGCAGCTCTAGTAATTTCACTTCTAAGTGCCTGCATCTAGGGGGATCTCGTACCCGGGCACATGGGAACAGGCAAAAAGGATGCTCTTAGCAGCTCTTTGTCATTGCAAAAATGGGATGCAAACTCCCTATTTATAGGGCAATAAATTCATTTGTACACTGCCATGTTATATGGCACTTAAAGGCCAATTAACTCCATATGTCTCAAACTGAACAACCTTAAAACCAATAGACTGCTTTTTGCTCTGCTTTATTTTGTGTTGTTTGGTTTTGGGTTTGGGAGCCGTATCTATTGATGCCTTGAAGTTACTCCCAGTGGTGTTAGCCGGATCCCTGGGCAGTGCTAGAGATAAAATCCAGGGCTTCCTCATGCAAAGCATACGCTCTGGTTCTCAGAGTCACCACCCCAGTCCCCAAACCAATAGTTTTATGTGAGCACAAGATATACAAGTAGGGGCTGGAGCGATAGCACAGAGGGTAGGGCGTTTGTCTTGCACGCGGCTGACCTGGGTTTGATTCCCAGCATCTCATATGGTTCCCTGAGCACCGCCAGGAGTAATTTCTGAGTGCAGAGCCAGGAGTAACTCCTGTGCATTGCCAGGTGTGACCCAAAAAAGCAAAAAAAAAAAACATAAATAACTGTAAAGTCTAAAGCACAGGCATTGCATGTGGGAGGCCAGGGTTCAATCCCCAGTATAACCTGGTCCCCTGAGCACTACCTGGAGTGACCAGCTCAGAGCTAGTGTAGTCCCTACACACCACCAGGTATGTCCCCAAAACAACACCACACTGCCCAACTCTGCATGGGAATGATATATGCCAATGTTAAGAACCGTCATCCATTGTCTGAGAAAGAAGACAAAGTACAGGGATGGCTTTTAGCCAGTACTGGTAGTTTTTAAAAATCTGGAAAAGTGAAAAGGAAAACCATTTTGATACCAGAAGGAAACATGGCAAAATGTTAACAGTATGCGGTGGGTTTGAGGGTGTTAACATATTCTTTTCAAAGTATTTCATACCGAAGATGTGGGGATGCTTACATCACCCTTGACCCCAGAGAATAGAGAGAAGGACAGAGAATGAAACAAACTGAGGTGGGAAGAATATGAAGAAATGAAGTAACAGGGGAACAGGGTGAGGGGGCCTTCGGTACACTGGTAACATGAGGGTGCAGTACAGCTTTTTTTTTTTTTTTTGCTTTTTGGGTCACACCCGGCGATGCTCAGGGGTTACTCCTGGCTCATGCATTCAGGAACTGCTCCTGGCGGTGCTCAGGGGACCATATGGAGTGCTGGGAATCGAACCTGTGTCGGCGTTATTGGCTGCGTGTAAGACAAACCCCCTACCCGTTGTGCTATCACTCCAGCCCCAGGTGCAGTACAGCTTTAATCCAAACCACAGACTCAACACTGAACAGGAGATCCAATCACCAACCACCAAACTTTAAGGCATGCCTGTCAAGGTGGCAGATTGCGGGAGTTGCAGGGAACTTGGGAACACTGGGAGAGGGGAGCTGACACTGATGATGGGATTGGTGCTATAACACTGTATATCTAAAGCTCAACTATCAACTATCTTTAATACCGTCACAGTACTCCTGTTGTTCATCAATTTGCTCGAGCAGGCCCAGTAACGTCTCCATTGTGAGACTTTGTTGTTACTATGTTTGGCATATGGAACACATCACAGGTAGCTTGCCAGGCTTTGCCGTGCAGGCGAGAAACGCTCAGTAGCTTTTCAGGCTCTCCAAGAGGGGTGGAGGAATTGAACTCGGGTCAGCCATGCTGGCTGCGTGCAAGGCAAACGCCCTACCCGCTGTGCTATCGCTCCAGCCCAAGAAACGGTCACGGTCCTCCCATTGTTCATAGATTTGCTCGAGCAGGCCCAGTAACATTGTGAGACTTGTTACTGTGTTTGGCATATTGAATACGTCATGGGTAGCTTGCCAGGCTTTGCCGTGCAGGCGAGATACTCTCGGTAGCTTGCCAGGCTCTTTGAGAGGGGCGGAGGAATCGAACTCGGGTCAGCCATGTTGGCTGCGTGTAAGGCAAACACCCTACCCGCTGTGCTATTGCTCCAGTCCATTTTTGATAAACTTTAAAAAACCTTAAAGAGTACTAGGACTTCAGTTCGGTTTAAGGCTGTATTAGATTTAGAGAAGGTTTAAAGAAATGGTTTTTGCTCTGGATTGGATGCTGAGATATAAAAAGAACTTGGTCTTTGTTCTGTGTTAAAAAACAAAATACTGGGGCTGGAGCAATAGTACAGTAGATAGGGCATTTGCCATGCACACAGCCAACCTGGGTTTGATTCCTGACCTTCCAGGAGCAACCCCTAAGCATCACCAGGTGTAACCCAAAAATAAGCAAAAACAAAAAAATTATAACTAAAAATAAAAAGCAATAAATGCAAATGAATTGCCTTTGAGGAGGTGATTTTGGAGTGGAATCTGAAAAGGTTAAATACGAGATAAGAGAGGGAATAAGAACACATCCAGCCCAAGAAATAAGAAGCAAGCAGCAGAAACAGTCTAAATGACAATCAGGGAACAGATCAACAAAGTATGGTACATCCATACAAGGGAATTATTATTCAGGAACTCAAAAAAATGAAGTACTGATAAAGGCTACAATATAGAGGGACCCGGAAAGCACTGGGTTAAGAAAAACAAGTCACCTGGGACCAGAGTGATAGTACAGCAGGGAGGGTGTTTGCCTCGCAAGCCCTGGCATCCTGTATGGTCCTCCAAGCACTGACAGGAGTGATCCCTGAGTGCAGAGCCAGGACTAACCCCTAGCAGCGCTGAGTGTGGAGCGAGGGAGGGAGTGAAGGAGGGTCGAGAGGGAGAGAGATAAAGAGGGGGGTGGAGACAGTATTTTTAATGGGGAGAAGAAACAAAAAGATAGGGTCAAGGGAGTCAATTCTAAGTTCCATCTTTATTAAAAAGAACATAAAAGTCTGAGGTCATGTTTGCTTCAACTGGTGACAGTTGGTCTCTGGGAAGGAAAATAAACTAGTGCCATCACTAGTCCCCATGTGGAGAAATTTGCTTGATCAATAACATGTTCTGCAACATTGACTATGGAGATGCTCGCACAATGCTGTAACTACAGTAAACCCTAGTGACCATAACATTAGTGACGGGGATGGATGACATGAATTGTATCTCAATGAAACGGATTTGCAAAAGGAACAGAGAAAGAATGAAGGGCAGAAAACTGGGGGATACAAGTACTGAGAAACAGAGCATTTTTTGTTTGTTTGCTTACCGGGGGTGGGAGATCTGAGCCACATCCAGAGTTCTAAGGCCTACATCCTAGCGCTATGCTCAGGAGTCCTGGTTATGCTCAGGAGACCAAACTGTACTGAGGATGCAAAGCACAGTCGCTGGCAGGCAAGGCAAGTACCTCACTCCCTGTACCAGCTCCGGCAGAGCTTTTTCAGGCTGGGTTAAGGAGCTGAGCAAAATTTTCCTCGTGAGCGAAGTGGAAAAGAGGTAAACATGAAGATTGCCTCGTTGGGTTTAAGAAGATTCATTTGACAGCTCTTTCTGCAGACGTGTCTGTAAACAGCGAGTTTAGGGTCTTTAAATTGCCGAGAATGAGCAGCTAAATGTGTAGCTACGGCACTGCTCGAATCGCACGTGAAAGGCAGTTAATTACATGAACAGACAGAGGCAGGAAGTCTGATAACAGTATGCGTCTTTGCGCTCAATTTCTTGGAAATAGTCAAGCTCTTGGCAGAAGTTGGGCATTGCAGTTTGAACAGATCTATCTGAAGTGGGGCACATTATTCTCCTCTAACTCCACCTGAGAATTATCAGGTGTCGTGTTTGCAATTACTCAGTTGTGTTTGTTTGCTGGCTCATTATGTGACTGAAGACTCTTCGGGGGTTATGTTTAAGAGACAGAGGGAGAGAGCGCCAAGTATAGAGACTAGGACGGGCGGCTGCTGAAGAAATTCAGGCTGATTTCTGGGAAATTTCGAGAAATTTCTGATTTCCGATTTCATGCTGGGGCACCACTGCAAACCTCTGACGGACTAAAGCACTAAAAGCATCTCAGTAGGAGGCACCGATCACAGCTGGACCTTAGGTTTCTAGATAGTGGTAAAGGCAAAGAAAAATATGAAAGGGGGACAGGAAAAAATCCTGAAAAAGCATATATACTTGACACAGTGGTGCAGGGAGGCTGACATTCTGGAGTTAGGATATGCCTGAAACTTTATTATTAACAGTATTGTACATCATAGGGCTCCCAAAATATTAAATAAAAAACAGGAGCGATAGCACAGCGGGTAAGGCATTTGCCTTGCATGCGGGCTGACCCAGGTTCGAATTCCAGCATCCCATTTGGCACCCCGAGCACCACCAGGAGTGATTCCTGAGTGCAGAGGCAGGATTAGGCCATGAACATCGCCGGGTATGACCCAAAAAGTGAAAATAAATAAATAAATAAATAAGGCTGGAGAGATAGTGAAGGCATTTACCTCGAATGCAGCCAACTCCAGTTTAAACCTTGGCACTACTCATGGTTCCCCTGAGTCTCGGCCGGGGTTACTCCTGAGCACTTAAGGGCCCAACACCCCATCCCCCAAATATAAAGTAAAAAGTATGTATATATAGGCTGGTAGCTGGTGATACATGATCAGGGAAATATGAATGGAAGGAGAGAAAAGAAGGTAAGGGGATGCAGGTTCTATACTGGGTGACCAGGGAAGGCTCAGTGAGGTCATTTACGAAACCCACGGAGCTACAGGAAGTGATGATTTGATCTTTACTTACTTCAACTCTGCTGAACTTCTGGGTACCCATCTCCTCAGCACTTAGAAGAAAGGCTGGGACAAAGGGAACCCTTAATACATTTGACTATTGTTAAATACAAGATCCTGAGGGCCATAATAGTAAATGAAAACTACTATCAAATTATATTCTTTTATATGTGTCAAATATTGCATAAGGCATTATTTAAGCAGGATACTTTTGTGCATGTTTTGTTTTGGGGCAACACCCAGTAGTGCTCAGGGCTTACTCCTATCTCAGGGATCATTCCTGGCAATACTCAGGGGGACTAGATGTGGTGCTCGGGATCAAACCTGGGCTCATTACATGCGTAATACAAGGCAAACACCTGACCCACTGTGCCCAACACAAGGATACTTGTTTTCAAAAATTGAAGTTCTAAATCAAAAAGAGAGGGGTAAGAAATACAGCCATTTCCCCCTATTATTCAGAGCTGGAGTGACAGTACAGCGGTAGGGTGTTTGCCTTGCACCCGGCAGACCCGAGTTCGATTCCTCTGCCCCTGTCGGAGAGCCCGGCAAGTTACTGAGAGTATCTTGTCCGCACTGCAAAGCCTGGCAAGCTCCCCGTGACATATTCGATATGCCAAACACAGTAACAACAAGTCTCACAATGGAGACATTACTGAGCCCACTCGAGCAAATTGATGAACAACGGGAGGACAGTGCTACAGTGCTACTCCATAAAAATAAATTACAAATTTTTTTCCAAGAATTTTTTTTTTCTGTCTAAGACAGGTTGAGCAATCAAACTCAGAAAGAGGGGCTGGAAATGTAGTTCAAGTGGGGAGGGTGCTTGCCTTGAACATAGCAGATCTGGGTTTGATTCCCAGCAGCCCAGATGTCAGTCCCCTGAACCAGCCAGGAGTGATCCTGAATGCAGAGCCAAGAATAAGCCCTGTGGCACAGCCAGGTGTGGCCCCCAAACAAACAAAAAGACAAAGAGGAATTTCTTGCCTTGGCTTACCTCTCAGCTTCTGCATACCACATTAAAAAAACATAGACATTACATTAAAAGTATGAAGAACTTACTTCCACGATCAAGACATTCTAGAAGAGAAAAGAAATTGAACATTAGTACAATGAGTCAGTGTTTCCGATTAAGCACGCAAATCACATCATAATAAACTCTAAGGAATTGTACAAATTTTTGTCTGACAACCCTTACTAAATAAACCAAATCCTGATTTACAGAATTTTACCCATGGGTAAAATTGCGAACCTGAACTAGTATCTGTCATCTGACACAAAGAAATCTAATTTGTACAATAACCCCCAAACCAAAACGCTGCATTTAATATACTGGAATCCAGGCTGAAACTTATCTACAACTTTCTGGATGTCCTCATATTCTTGGGATTGGTTTTAAAAAAAACAAAACGATGTTTTCTTCCTCTGTCGCCTCCACCCCAATTTCTACCTCCCAGAAATTTAAAGCTGGAAGAAATCTTAGAGAAAACACTAAGGAGGATGTAGCCACGGTAGACAGTACTCTCTATGCTTCTTTTAGTTAGAAGAACAAGGGAACATCATCTGTCACACTGACTGGAATGACTGTCACAGGGCCAGAGAGATAGAACAGGGGTGAAGGCATTTGCCTTCTATGTGATCAACCTGAGTTTGATCCCGGGCACTGAGTATGGTCCCCTGAGTACCGCCAGGGGTCACTCCTAGCACAGAGCCAGAAACAGCCCCTGAGAACTGCTTGAGCACGGCCCCAAAACAAAAACAAAAAAGAGGGAAAGAGATATCCCCAAATTGCGGCAATCCAAAGGCACAGAACAAATGAGTAATATTAAGATTTTTTTTTAATTTAGGAGACCCACGTCAATTCTAATTCAATTGTGAATACATTAAAGACTGAAGAAAAGCCTTGTGTTTTCTTTTCCAACAAATGCCAGCATTAGTGTAAAGAGTGCCGATATCAAACATTTCTTGACTCAGACTGTGGCGCTGTCACCTTAACAGCTATCTGCTTAGAACATCTTCACAGCCAGCCAGGAAGATGACCGAGACAGTAAGCAGGCAATACAGCCACAGAGAGTTCTTACTTCCCTCCTTCGTACCTCAACTCATTTGCCTCCTTCCAGAGATACTGCATTTTCAAAATTCAGTCAAACAGAATACCACCCATTAACGGATGGATCACTATTTCGCCACAATTGTGGTCCTTTCTCCGCAGTTTCTCTACCCTAACAGACACACCTGAAGGATGACATTTTCCCATCAGTAACCCTGACTCACGACGGCAGTAATTGGTACCATGGAGTAGAATTAAGAGTTTGAACACAGCAATGAATTTGGGAACAGAGACACTCGATTCTAGCCTTCCCTCAAATAAATCTAGCTCGACAATCCTGACTAAGTCATAAGAATACTTTCTTTCTTTACCTTTTCTTTTTTTTTGTATTCTCCCCTAGATGTTCAGTCATATGAGTGAGTGTAGGCAGAGTGTTTCTCAACAGGGGAGGGGGGGGTCATATGGACCCCATGGGTCCTCAGCATATTCCAAGGGGACCAAAGGGGAAAACAACATGTCGATGGGGGAGGCCAGGGCATGAGTCCAGGGAACCAGCTGGTAGGACGGAGAATGGGGCGGGGAGGTGCAGGAAAGGAACAAGACCGGAGTAGGGGGCGCGGGAGGAAATACTGGTTTAGACAAATACAAGTCCCGAGTGATTTAATACTTGTTCTAATACAAAATTGCACTATCTAGATTATGATCAGTACTATTGAAAAAAAATAAAATGAGAAAAGCTGTGCTGCCTGCAAGATAAAAATCTTAAAAATACAATAATGAGAATTACTGCCGTTATAAAGAGCAGCCGTGCTCATTAATAAATGAAAAATGAGCCTCAGAAGTGCAATGACGTCTCTGGAGTCAGAAAAGCAGCCAGGTGGGAGCACAGAGACTCAAAGAGGTGCTCCCTGAGCCCAAAGCCCACAGTATTAAGCATTAATCACTGGTGAGGGGGAGTAAGGTATTGACGTAGATGTGTATCTGCAAACAGTGTCCCCAAAAGAGCGAATGGAATCAAAGTCTAAATGACCCATAATTTCACCACCAAGAAGTAACTTCACCCGATTTATGTGTCTGGACTTCCCCACACACACATACAGACACACACAATAATGTGCTCGACTGCAACTATCATGAAAAGAAAGTGATTTGAAAAAGAGAGACCTTTTAAGATCACAGAGCTACCTAGTGGATCAGAACCATTAGGTGGGAAAGGCAAGGTCAAACGGAATCACAGAGTGCTTTGAAGGCCGGGCCCCTTTCAGCAGTAAAAACTGATTATAGGAGTGAGGCTTCAAATGACTTCTAAATATAGGCAAAGCTCGCTGAAAGGGAAGGAGGACCGGTCTGGCAGGGGTGCACTGAACGGGCAGGAAGGAGAGTCGGCAGATCATAACTTCTCCTTTGAAGTTTTCAAAAGATGTTGAGGAGGACAATGTTAGCCCGCCCTGACCCTGATATGGACCCGCAGAATTGAACACAGGTGTTGTCTGTTCATTTCCTAGCAGACCCGCAGAGGTACTTTGTGAACGTGAGGGCCAGAGACAGGACAGGAGTTCAGGCACTTGCCCTGCACGCGGCCATGCTGGGTTTGACCAACTCCCCCCACCAGACACATTTCCCAGCACTGCATAGGGTCCCCTGAGCCCAGTCAGGAAGAAGCCCTGAGCACCACCATGTGTGGCCCAGCACTCCACACACAACACACACACACACAAATCTAAAAGAAGAAAAGACTGCAAGCCAGATAGACCTACATTCAAATTCCAGCTTGACCACTTACTGCCTGTGGATGGTTGTAGGACTTAGGGAGTCCTTCAACCTTGCTTACTCTTCACAATCTGTAAACAAGGGGAAATAGCGCCTCCAAGCCCACAGGACCACTGTACAACTATTATGAGATAATGCCTTCATATTTGGCGGAGCTTTTAAGTAGAAAAAAAAAAAGAAACTGCAGCTTACACATGGCATGGCAGGGGAGATAGCTCAAAGGGCTGGTGTACATGCTTTGCATGCAGGGGGCCTAGTTAGATCCCAAGCACCACAAAGGCCTCTAAGCACTGTGCCTGCAAACAAGTGTGCCCCCTCTTGCAAAAGAGAGAAAAGCATGAGCAAGTTGACTTTCTTTTTTTTTTTTCTTTTTTCATTTTGGGTCACACCCAGCGATGCACAGGGGTTACTCCTGGCTCTGCACTCAGGAATTCCTCCTGGTATTGCTCGGGGGACCATATGCAATGCTGGGAATCGAACCCAGGTCGGCCGCGTACAAGACAAACGCCCTACCTGCTGTGCTAGGCTCTAGCCCCACAAGTTGACTTTCTAAAACAAGAATTTTTTTAATATTTATTTATTTTTTAATAGTGAGGCACCATGAGGTACAGTTGAAGAATTTTCATACATAAACGCATACTTTTGTTTTGGGGTCACACCCAGCAGTGCTCAAGGCTTTCTCCTGCCTGTTCTGTGCTCAGGGATCATCCCTGGCAGGGCTTGGAGGACATGATGTGGTGCCAGGATCAAACCCGGATCAGCTATACGCAAGGCAAGAGCTTTCCTTGCCCGTACCATATTTCCAGTCTTGCCTACCCACCCAGAGCCACATTATTAATGATCCCCAACTAAACCCTGAGAGATAAATAGCAGGATTTAGCGATAGATTCTTTTCCAGTTTTCTGGTTGATTCTGCTGCCTCTTTTGCTCTACAGACTTAAGAAAGGAACGACCCCACCCCCCCGACCTACACTGCTTGTGAAGATGAACTCTGCGCAAGCCCACAAACAACACTGTAAAGTGCCTCTCAGAGCGTGACAGAGAGCACGGTGTTAGTGACTGACTTCTACTGTAAACTGTCTCCAAAATACATACCTTTCCAGTTAACGTTGACAGGTCATCTCCACCGATGACTTTTATGTCCCCAGTTGACTGGTCATTCTAGTGAAAAACAAAATTGTATGAATATATACGGATGTATATCCTTGAACACAGCCACACTTGAAATTGCCAAACGCGAACTAGGAGATTTTAGAAGTTAGGTCTAATATCAAATCTAATGTCATAGTATTAGGTTATTCTACATGATAGAAATTCTAAGAACTATGTTTCCAGAAATGAATGATAGGGAACTTTTGACTAGAGAGTGATGGGGGAAATGGCTGTTACTGATTTGAGGCTCTCAATGTCCTAAAAATAAGACCCGTTTCTCCATGGGCAGTGTTACAGCAGCTATCCATCTTCAAGGCACGGTTCTGTCTGAAGCATGAGGGGCGTTATGGGCAGGACAGCTGTCTGGTTCTGGTCCTAAACCATTTCCATGAGTCAAGCAAGTTATCTTAGTAGCAAATATCCATATCACGTACAATTCCAAGGTTATTTCCGTGATAAGCTCAGTTCAGGCCCAGGTCATCTTCCACAAAGTCTACTGTAGCACTGTCCTCCTGTTGTTCATCCATTTGCTCGAGTGGGCACCAGTAACGTCTCCATGGTGAGACTTGTCATTACTGTTTTTGGCATATCGAATACACCATGGGGAGCGTGCCAGGCTCTGCCATGCGGGCAGGATACTCTGGGGAGCCTGGCAGGGTCTCCGAGAGGGAGGGAGAAATCGAAGCCAGGTGGGCGGCATGCAAGGCAAATGCCCTACGCACTGTGCTATCGCTCCAGCCTTCATAAGAGTCTAGGTTGCTCTTTTTTTAAAATATGACAATAATTTTATTTTTGTAAGTATATAAAGTGATATTATGGATCTTTGAAAACATCTGTATATAACTACAGTTGTTCATGATTTCATAAAATATTTTATTCTTAATCTTTCTTTTTTTTAAGGCACACCTCTTCAGCTCCCAATTTACTGCTCTTCCAGAATCCAGTAGACACCTTTACCAGAGTTTGACTCTACCTCCGAGAGCTGGGGGATCTGAACGATCACAACTGACTAGGTTCAAGAGAGAAAAATTAAGTGAAAAGGTAGACCAGGGGTTTGTACTTGCCCTCCCAGAAGCAAAACTTTTTTTTAAAAAGGCACAGTAATGACCATAGTGCTGCACCAGCATAGTAATAAAAGAGTACACGGAACAAAATATAGCCCAGAAACAGACCCCAAAGTAGATGAACATTTAGTATATGATAAAGATGGTGTTTTGAGTCAGTAAGTAAGAGATGAATTATTCAACAAATGGTGTTTGATAAATTTGTTATGCATGGGGGGAGGAATAAGTATGATCCCTACCTCATAGCATACACAAAAATAAATTCCGGATGCATTTAAATCTAAATGTAAAAAATAAAGCTATAAATAAACTGGAAGAAAATATAGAATATTTTTGCATTCTTTTTGTTGTCAGTTGTAGGGCCACACCTTTTGGAGGTCATTCTTGGCAGTGCTTGGGCAACCAGTAGGACTAGAAATCAAACCAGGGCTTTTTTTTTTCTTTTTGGGTCACACCCAGCGATGCACAGGGGTTACTCCTGGCTTTGCACTCATGAATTACTCTTAGTGGTGCTCGAGGGGACCATATGGAATGCCGGGAATTGAACCTGGGTTGGCCAATGCCCTACCTACTGTGCATTGCAAGGCAAATGCCCTTCCTACTGTGCTATCTCTCCAGCCCCAAGTCTGGACTCTGCATGCAAAGAATGTTTTGCATGAGGCTCAACATATTGAATTGAGCTCTCTCTCTCTCCAGCCCTAATTTTACATTGTCTTCTCCTTTGTGGTTTTTTTTTTTTTTTGGCTTTTTTGCACCACATCGGCGATGCTCAGGAATTACGCCTGGTTTTGCACTCAGAAATAACTCCCGGCAGTGCTCGGAAAACTATATGGGATGCCTGCCACAGAGGCAGGGTGGAATGGGGGGGGGTGGGGGTGGGAGGGATATTATCCATGGTGGTGGAAAGTGGGCACTGATGGAGGGATGGGTATTTGATCATTGTATAATCGAAACCCAAGCACAAAAAATTGTAAATCTACAACTGTACTTCATGGTGTTTCACTAATAAAAAGAAAAAAATCTAAAAAAAAAAAAAACAACTATATGGGATGCCAGGATCAAGCCTGGCTCGGCCACATGCAAGACAAGCACCCTATCCATTGTACTATCGCTCTGACCCCCTATTTTCATTGTTACAAAGGGTTAAAACCTTGGCTCAACATGTACCAAAACAAAAAGAGCTGTAACAAATATTCCTATTAAACACTGAACTCTAACAATAAGAACACAAGTCTGCAATCCAAAGATGGAAAGGCTATATAACATTTCAACTGATAGCTGGGAAGCACATACTAAAACAGTATAATTCTACTATTCACCCATGCAACTGACAAAACTTAAGGCAAGTGATATATGCTGGGGGGAATGAGGGAAAACAAGCATTCCTGGCACAACCCCTTGGGGGAATAATATTGCAATACCTATTAAAATTATCACTATCCATGCCATTTGCCCAAGTCATCCACTTCCAGGAATCGGTACTACGAATACTCACAAATCTGTAAATGAACATAGGATGACATTCAGAATATAATACTTAGTTATTAAATAAGAGAGGGGCTGAAGCGATAGTACAGCAAACACAGCACTGGTCCTTCATGCAGCCAAACATGGTTTAATCCCTGGCTCCCCATAGAGTCCCCCAGGCCCTGCCAGGAGTGATTCCTAAGTTTTGAGCTAGGAGTGAGCGTTGAGCACCAATGGGTGTGATCCCCACCCCCCCAAAAAAATAACCCTTGGAGAGAAATGTCATTGTTAACAAGAAACTACTTAAATTCATCCACACACTCTGAGACTGTGAGACTATTAAGAAGGAATCTAATAAGCTGTGCACAGAGATGAACAATAGAACACCAAGTAGGTCCAGGGATATATCTTAGAGGCAGAACACTTGGGCAAGTGTGAGGCTCTTGGTTTGATGCCCAACATGATCAAAATAGAGAATAGCATAAAAACAGAACAATGTGCTGCCTTAAAAACCATGTTTGTTTAGCATTTTATTTATTTCTTTTTTTTCAATTTTTTATTTTTATTATTTTGTTTAGCATTTTAAAAGGTACATGACCATCAGTTACTGTTTTGCAGTGAAAACAGAGAAATAAAGTTTACTTTTATTTATCTTTAGTTTTTTGGTTTTTGGGGTCCCACCTGGTGCTGCTTAGGGGTTACTCCCGGTTCTGCACTCAGGAATTATTCCTGGCACTGCAAGGGAGGCCAGAAGGGATGCCAGGGATCAAACCTGAATTGGTTACGTGCAAGGCAAGCGCCCTACCTGCTGTACAGTTGCTCCATCTCCAACAAGTTTACTTTTATATACGTCTTTATCTATGTTCATGTTTTACAGACTGTTATTTTTGAATAACACAAAGGGCCCTATTTCACTCAGTGTTACAAATTAAGCATAAGATATAAGCATGGCTTGATATCAAAAGACCCTTGCGTATTACATCTCAATGCAAATTATCTCCTATTCGATGTAACATAATACCGAGTTTCAAACATACAGAATTGATTAGTCCCTGTTTTTCTTTTCTTTTCTTCTTTTATAAAACCCGAAGCCTTAGAGGAGATTTACACTATAAATGGAAGTTCAACATTGCCATCTTCTGGAAAACTTTGGTATTACACCAGAACGTCAACGGTCCCTTTCTTACAGAACTGAATCATTGGTGAAGGGATTGGTGTTGAAAATATTAAACACAGTAACATTAATTATATCATATGACTAAAATTCAACTACCAATAACTTTGTAAATCACAGTTCCTTACATTTAAATTGAATAGTTTTAAATAAAAAATGTGGGAAAATATTCATGTTTGTTGTGACATTGTTTCATCACTTCATTACTTTTTAACTGATAAATAAAATTCTATTCTATTTTTAAAAAGATCTGAAAACTGGAGTGTAGAGCAAAAACCACTGTAATACAGGGACAGAGCAATAGTACAGTGGGCAAGGCACTTGCCTTGCAGGCAGCTGACCGTATTCGATCCCCAGCATCCCATATCGTCCATATTGTCTGCCAGGAGTGATCCCTGAGCATCAGAGCCAGAAATCAGTTCTGAGCACCACTGGGAGTGCCCCCCCAAAAAAAAGCCTGTGACACAAAAGTCATGAATGATTCCTTGCACTCAAGCCCCAGTGCCTCCTTATTTCACTGCCTTCCTTGTACTAGATCCAAATACATGACCCTAGGCAATGAAAAGAACAAAGGGAAACAAAATACATCCAAACCTCCACACCCTGTTCCTGTTTATAGTTTCAATCTCACTGAGGTTGTGTTTTGTTTTTCACGGACACATTTTTTTGTGGGCTAGAAATTGAACCCAGGACTCGTGCATGCAAAGGATGCAAAGGATGCACAGAGCCACCTTTGAAATGGAGGCTAATAAAGAAGATTCATTTCACATTGTTTGACCCTGCCTCCTGATGTTAGAAGTAAGAGTACAGAGGCAAGTGCCCCGTACTGCATATAAAACCCTATCAGTGAACCACAGTGCCAAAAAAGAGAACTATTTGGGGGCCATATCCAGCAGTGCACAGAGCTCACTCCTCCTGGCTCTGTGTTCAGGGATTACTACTGGCAGGGATCAGGGGACCATATTGAGTGCCCAGGATCAAACCCGGGTCGGTCACATGCAAAGCAAACACCTTACCCGCTGTACTATTGCTCCAGCCCCTTGACTAATTTTTTTTTAATTTTTCATTTTTTAAAAAATTTTTATTAGTGAAACACCATGAGGTACAGTTGTAGACTTACAAATTTTTGTGCTTGGGTTTCAGTTACACAATGATCAAGTACCCATCCCTCCACCAGTGCCCATTCTCCACCACCACTAATCCCAATATCCCTCCCACCCCCCATCCCCCCATCCCACTCCGCCTCTGTGGCAAGGCATTCCCTTTTGCTCTCTCTCTCCTTTTGGGTGCTGTGGTTTGCAAAA